TGCAGGTGGGTTACAAAATGTCCATCGGTGAATGTTTTTCCTTATCGACTACTTCTTGCTATTTGACTAGCCCAAAGGTACATCTTGTTTATGAGCTGGGCGCCTCGTCAAATATTAACTGATTTCCATGTCCCTCTGATCCCTTCCTGTGCAGAGTTCACTGTCCAGACTGGTAGGTAAGTGGTACAGACACGTAATTTCTTTTTTTGTTTCTCATACAGGATTATAAAATGCTGCGGCACTTGTTCTGACTAAGCATATGCAGAAATTAATTCTGAAATGGCCAGAATGGCAGAAGGCTTCCTAAACCAAATGATCCTCATCGTTACACCATTTCACAAAGATGTACTGATGCCATTATTAAAATGGATTATTATATTCGTATTCTTCATGGTTGTTCTTGTTAGGTGTCTCAGATTTGCTCTGGCTCACAGTGACCCAATGGACACCACCCTCTCCTACACCACCCTCACAATTGTTGTGCCAGAGCCCATTACAGCAGCAACTGTGTCCGTGGTTCTCAGCGACACTCTTCTTTTTCACTGACATTCCACTTTCCCAATGTCTTCTCCGCAGACGAGTCCTTCCGATAACATGCTCAAAGTATATGGGACAACCTTGCACTTCCAAGGATCGTTCTGGCTGCACTTCATCCCACTCAGATTTTTGTTTTCTGGCAGTCCACTCGACATTCGATATTCTTTGCCATCATGCACATGTATCCATTCTGATTGGCTTATGTGAACCCTTGTCCAGTCTCGCGTGCATAGGAGGGGATTGAACATGCCATGGCTTCGTTCACACATACCTTAAGTCCTCAAAACTACATTTGTACTTTTCCACACGTGAAAGCTTTTTTTTTGGTTGGGGGAGAATTCTCTAGTGTAATATACCATTTGATTTCTTGTCTGCTATTTCCATGGAATTGTGGATTCAAGTAAAATGAAACCTTGACAACTTCAATATTTTCTTCACTTACCGTGATGTAGTGTCCTGAGCTGGTTGTGAGGAGTTCTGTTTTCTTTACACTGAGACATCTGTAATGAAGGCCAGAGCCTTTGATTTTCATCAGTAAGTGCTTCAAGTTCTCCCTGATTCCAGCCAGCATGCCTGCGTTACCTGCATCCCACAAGCTGTTTATAAGTCTTCCTCCAATTTTGATGTCGAATTATTCTTCATGTAGTCTGAAAAAAAAACCAAACTCACTGCTACCAAGTCAATTTTGACTCACAGCAAATGAGCCCATAGATTGGAGTTGAATTGCCCTTGTGAGTTTTTGAGACTGTAACTCTTCATAGTAGAAAGACGCCTCTTTCCCCCTCATAAACTCCAGTTTCTTCAACTATCTATTAAACTTACAGGTTGACAAAGTATGGTAAAAGGACATGACCCTGATTATGGAATGCACATCTTTCTCATTTTTAATCCATGCAGTATCCCCTGGTTTTGATTAAACAACTGCCTTTGATCTATGTACAGGCTTCACATGACCATAAAAGTGTTCTGGAATTCCCACTTTTCACAATGTTATCCACAATATGTTATGATCTACCCAAACGAATGCCCATGCAAAGTTCATAAAACACAGGTAAACGTTTTTCTGGGATTCTGGTCTTTCAACCAAGATCCATCAGATGTCGGCAATCTACCCCTAGTTGGGTGTGCCATCTTCCGAGTCCAGCCTGGATTTCTGGCCGCTCACTATCGATGGATGGCTGCAACTGTTCTGTCCCTGATCACCCGCAGAATGTTACTTGCAGATGATATCGGTGATGTTGTCCGATAGTCCACATTCTATAGGACTGCCTTTCTTTGGATAGGCACAGATATTAATCTTTTCCAGTCGACTAGGCAGGGAACTGTCTTCAAACTTCTTGGCATAGATGAGTGAGCACCACCAGTGTAGCATTCACTTGTTGAGACATGTCCGTTGACACTTCACTGACTAGAGCCTTGTTTTTGCCAATTATCTTCGGTGTAGGTTAGACTTCTTCCTTCAATGCCATTGATTCTTGATCATCTGCTGCCTCCTAAGATGACTGAGCATCAACCGATCCTTTGGGACAGTGATTCTATGTATTTCTCTTATCTTCCCCTGATGTTTCCTGCCTCATCCATTATCTTGCCAATATGATCCTTCCATAGGAATTTCAGCTCTTTCAGAATATTCGTGATAGTAGGGCTAATATTGCTATTTCACATAGGCAACACATAATATCATATCTGAAAAGTTCTGTTCCCTCGTTTATTGCTACCTTCAGGAATTGATGTGGTTCTTTTGGTGAATAGTGGGGAAAAACAAACCTTAATTTGCTTTGACTGGTTCATCTTTTTATCCATCTTTTAACTATAAAATGTTTTCCTCTAATCAAGTACTGTATTTTTATGGCATCTACTGCTTTCAAATCTGCTATTCTTGCAGTAAAGTAAAGCTAATCACTTGTGCTTTTCAGAAAATAATAATCATGTCTGATTTCTTGCCCATTGGTATACAAGTCCTAGCGAATGTTCTTCATGCTGACTGTGTGAGTCTGGGTACATTACAGAAACAAATCCACAGAAACTCATGTGTAAGAGAACGTTTTATATAAAGGTTAAGTGCACATCAAGAAAACATCCCAACCCAGTGCTGCCTAAACCCACAAGTCCAACATTAACCCATATGTCTGACACCAATCCACAAAGTCCTCCTGCATCTCACAAAACACATACTATGATGCCGATTGCAGGAGAAATGCTGAATCAGTGAATGTGTAAGCATCTCATCACTGGCAGGGGCCTCCACACAGCTGCTCCAGCCCCCAGGGCTGTATCGGGGTAGGTCCATGTGGCTTCTCCTTGGGGATGTCTTCTTGTAGGAAGTCAGCCTTGCAAGCTGAAACAGGGAACTGGCTAAGGCAGCTGCATCCTGGTCTGACCATCACAAAGCAAGAGACCCAAGAACTAGAAAGGCGAGGCTCACTTAGCCATTTATCTCTCCGCCCTTCAACTAACCCCACACGTGTTTATCGGCTAGGTTGGCACAATAAACTTTAACTAACTCACTGACTAAGGAGTTTCTCAAATTTGACATTAAACTTCCACTAAAAAAGCCTCAAACTGATTCACCCTGAAGATGAGGCCTAATAGCCAGGCACGGCGAAGAAAATAAAGTAAACTGTAAAATGGCAAGTGTAGTCCAACCAACAGTGAAGACATCGGGAAAAACCAGGCTCCGGAAATTGATGGAGTATCCATTGAGATGCTTGAACAAATGAATGCCACACTGCAGGTGCTCACTCATGTCAAGTACATCATTTCAAGTCGCACGTAAACTGGTGATGAAATAAGGCAGACCATGGAGTGGTGACCACAAAGGAAAGTCCCTGCAGAAGAATGATGGCGCCATGTTTCAAGGATCAGTGCCCAGAGGCTTGATCCCAAGAGGGGAGCCGTTTCCGTGGAGGCAGAAACCAGCATAGAGCTTCCCATGCCACACTGGGAGAGCGCAGCTGCGCCTTGGCTTCACAGGGCAAAAGTTTAAGATAGCTAACCTAACTCTTAAGAATAGTTCTTAGCTCTTGTCTCCAGGTGTGTGCAGAATTAACAGTTCCTGCTCTATAGCTCCTGAATTTCAGACTGCTATCACCTGGTTCTTTGTCTCCTCTCGACAACCGTGAGCCTCTCCTTGGAAACAAGAGCCTAGGGCAAACCAACATTTTGGAGAAGACGGATCTCAAATGACATTTTAATGAACTTCTGACAAATCAACTCCCACTGCCTGATTCTCTAAAGCTCTCCTGGTCCCTGTCTCTGTCTTCAAATCGCCGCATTTCTTGGGAGCACGTGGGTCAGGTGCTGTGTTCCCTCATCCATGAATCATTGATCAAATAGTAATAAATATATAGTTACTTTAAGAGTCTCATGCTCTACCGACTGAGCTAGCCGGGCACATAATATATAGTTATTTTAAACTTTTTCAATTCTTAGAAATTATTTTGAAGTGTGTCTGCTTATATGCTTAAAGAAAATGGCAATACATTCCTTCCAGAGAGAGATTGTATATATTTGAAGAGGTTGTTTATATTTCAAAGACCAAACAAGCAAACAAACCACTCACTGACATTGAGTCAATGCTGACTCATAATAACCCCACAGTCGGTTTCTGAGACTAACCGTTTACTGGTGGAGAAAGCCCAGTCTTTATCCCACCACAGAGCCGCTAGTGGTTTTGAACTGCCAACCATGTGGATCACAGCCCAGCTGGTAACCACTACACCACCAGGGTTCTCACATTTCAAAGGCAGTAAGTGAATACTAGAATTTTTTTTTTAAGTTTTGAAGCTGGGCCAGGTTAGAACGAGTGAGTTCATTATAAGCAAGCTACTGAGCAATATAATGTAATAAAGTCCACCAAAAATCCAGCTGCCTTTTCCAACATTGATAACCCACGAGAAATAGTTTGTCCCTTTTCTTCTCCCTACAATTCCCTTTATATGACTGGGTTCTCTACCGGGAAGCCCCCAGGCTCAGCATGAAAGGAACAAGATCCTTCCTCACAGGTAATTTTTAAAAGAGAGGCGTTTTTTGTGTTTTGGTTTGCTGGATTTTTTGAGCCATTAGACTTGGGTTTACAAGAAGTACTCCTCCAAAATATCGAAGGCAGGATGGGGATGTAACATCCTCTCTAGCTGCTGCACTGGGTTTACTGCAGGATGCGGGTGCAGAGACAGGAAGTGCTGCCAAGGCGAGATGGTAACTAGGTGGATGAACATAATTTGGGACGGTGTCTTTATTGTTATTAACACACTCTTGCTTCTCAGTAATAGCCTGTGTTTTATTTGTGTGTGTTTGTGTTTTCTTTTAAAATATCATTTTAGAGGCAAAGCCCCTTGCTCTCTCTTTCATTCTGAATTTTGAAGAAAGCAATTCACTGTGTGGGGTCCTTTGGCATAACTTCGGTAAAGTCAGCGCCTGCTTGGGGAAAATAATCTCATTGGTCAATAAGAGATTCACAAAAATGAAAGGAAACAGAAGAAGTTTATTTAAGCACTCTAGATAGAAGTCCAAAGATGAGGGGAAACAATGTTACATTCACGAATGAACAATTGAAAACGAACAACTACAGATCACACACTAAAAGGTAGTGACTACATTAACACAAAATATTTAAGCAGAAACAAGCCAACTGAACAACAGTTTCATTTCCCCATGCAAAGAACATCCTCTTCCTGTGTCCTCAACATCAATTTCACTGTGCCAAGTCCATGGATCTTAAATTTTCTGAAGAAACTGTGTAGGGCAATTTGCACCTTCCAGTGGTATAGTACCTGTGCTAATGCTGCTGCTGCTAACAAACTTGTGTATGTTTTATAAAAATTCTTAACAAATACAGCATTTGACTGTATGATATAGATCTCGTTGCAATACAAAACATTTCCTCCAGAATGTTTTCAGTAAGACTTATGTGTACTCCAGAAATATTATTGTGTCTCTCTGATTGTGCCTCAAAGCTACCCGGGTAAGCGACCTCACTTAGGAACACCATTTGATTGATACCTAGAAGAATGTGTGGCATCTTCTCCATTCAAAATGCAGGCATCCAAATTCAAAGAAGATGGAAACACACACCCAAGAAACCTGCTCACACCTGGCAAGTGGATTTGTCTTGAGTTCACTGCTTCTACCTTTCCCTGTGAAGGCAATGCCCACGGGGTGAGCCTGTCTAGACCAGATTAGCAAGAACAAAAGGGTAGAGTAAGGTTGTCCTCATAAACCAAGAGGTCTGGGTGCTGATCATCTACATTGCTCTCTCCACAAATGACCAAGCCTGACGAGCACACTTATCTTTCCCAGTTTCTCCTTTTTTTCCTATTTTTTACCATTTTCAGTGTTCCTGTTTTATCTCTATAGCCAAACTATGCTAGGCAACTGCTCCTCGTCTCTAAATAATGTTCTCTGAAAGATGGCAGCCCGTGACGGAAAAAGCCCAACGTCATCGACTTAAGGGTTAGCCTTCAGAACTCTCCGTCTCACGTTTTCCGACACTCGCTGGCCACCTCAGTGGGGTCCTGAAGACCTGCTGCTGGTGTGCGTGCTGTGGAGCCGATTCCCACTCAAAGGACCCCCGCAATGGAATGAAAACCTCACTGGCGTCCAGTGGTGCCCACTCCTAGTGACCCCACAGGACAGACTAGATCTGCCCCGGGGGTTCCCAAGACTGACACTGTCCTGGAGTAGAAAGCCTCCTCTCCTCCCACAGCGCTGCGGGTGGCTTCAAACTGCGGCCCTGGTGGACAGCAGCACCACCACTCCACCACCAGAGCTCGTGTGGCTTTGGGCGCTTTGACGTGGCTGCAGATTACCAGCGCTTTTCCCGTCAACCTCTGTGAGCGTTCCAAGGACAACCTTTCGGTTGGCAGCAGAGCCCAACTGGGAAGCCACCAGGGCTCCTCAGAGCGAGAGACACTAAGCACCAGAGACTAACATAGAACCACCGCCAAACTTGGGGAGAAGCTGACCGTCAACACAGGTACTTTAAAAGCAGCAGTAGACCCCACTGCTGGAAACAAATCGTGTCCCTTTCATTTGCTGTTGAACAGAACAGTCACACTCCATCTCGGAGACACAACGTTGAAAACCAAGCGCAAAGAGTAAGTCTGCGCCTGGCCTCTCGGCCCTGGCCTTGAGCAGCGCGCTGGCCTGCTCCTAGGTTCGTTTGGGGTCTCTGCGAGTTGGGGGGTTTGGCAGGGAGGCCAGGAGCCACAACAAACTCCATGCATCTCTGGCCTATGGCTCAACGTGTGTGGGCTGAAACACCCATTCTTGGCCTCCAGTGGCCTAGTGTTTATCATGTCAAAGTTAACTTAAAGATCTCCTTCTTGTGACTCCTTCCTCACTCGAATATGTTAGCTGTGTGGCTGGGGGAGTAGGGAGGAGCTGTTCAAATAATGAGCCAACTTAGCGCTAAGTAGAGAAGACAGGGAATTTAAGAGGTGTTTAAGAGGCGAACAGTGGCGTCACTAAGGAGGGCGCATGCGCTGGGTAGGGCTGGGGTGCGGACTGCGTCAGAAGATACCGTCAGAGGTGACACCGACACGGCTCTCTAGAAAATTCCTGTACAGTACTTCAGCAGAAATGTATTAATGTTATTAAAATGCCCTTGTAGTTAGTAATGAAGACATTTTTTGTAAGCCCAGCTTACAAGCAGCAATAGACCTACAAAGCTATAACGTTGAGCTAATTTGCCTTTGACCCTCTGGTCAATGGTGTAATTATTGCCCAAAGAAAGTGGCTTTGCTTCTTGCCACAGACAGCATGCTGCTGTGTGCATTGACGCCTGCGAGTTGGCAGTTGCCGATTTTGCCAAATGTTTCGGTGTTCCAGGTATGATAGTGTGAGGACCGGTATTTTTGAGCCTACATCAGTAACTTTTTTAGAAAGTAATTAAAGGAAAAAGGAGGAAAATAAAAATAGGCTTTCCCTTTGTTACCAATAATGCTCTAACTAATAATATTGAAATTTAGAGTAGAAAGATTTTACAAAATAATTTTGTTCTCTGGAGTCAAAGAATCTAAGCAACATCACATTAAGACAATTTACAACTAAACTTGTCACCTATGGTTCCAAGATGACGATTGGTCATAAGTAGTTCTCATTCTGAATGGTGTGCTATCGGAGGAGGTCCATGGGGGACAGAGGGGTGACATCATGAGTGGACACCAACCCTAGGGACGCCACTGATCGCAAAGCCTGTTATTTTGCAAACTGAGCTGTAATGTAAACTTATTACCGATAAGGTAGAGAATGAGATTGGTTGTAAGAAAACCTGGGTCCCACTTCAAAGAAAGTAATAGATGAAAAGGTTATACAATGCATCAGGCATCTAATAGAGAACGCTGCACATACTAGCCGTTCCTGGTACAGTCAAACTTTCTAGCTACTTTCTTGTCTTTGAAAATTCTTTAACTTTACTTCTTGCAATTCCCCCCTTGCTGTGATGCCCCAGGATTAATGACATGGTGTTTGTAAAGTGTTTTGAAATCCCTGAAGTGTTATAATCAAACTAAGTGCCATTTTATTTATGCAAAATGTGTCTACCCAGCAAGTCCACTTAAATATCTAGGCGTGGGAGTTTCTGTCTCATAAGGCTTAATAAACGATCCCCTCAGGCTCTAGAAGCAGGTACTTTTTCAAGGACAAAGGAAGGGTAAGCAAAGGAATTACTTTGTGGCACCTGTTGTGCAATGTTCTCCGAATGGCACATCTGGACAAGTGCATGAGAGTCCTCGGAGAGTTACTGCAGACCATGAAGAGAGAGTGGTAGAAATCCCAGTATTTCTGAGAAGGCAAGCAAGACATGTGGTTGTTAGAAAGTAAGGCCCCACTGGTTTCACATCAAGACAAGTCAAGAATGATACACGCAGACCCTACTTTGCGCATTGGGGAAGCTTTCTCGGGTCTCTAGTGGTAAGACAAATTAAACACGGAGATGGGAAGGAGAAGAGGAAAATAAAAGAATGGAGAGGGAAGTAATACTTGGCTATAATTCAGAATCTCAGAGTTGAAGATATATATCTAGTCTGGACTAGTTCTAAACCAAAATAGCAATGTGATGCATCTATTTGTTAGCTTAAAAATTGTTATTGACAATGTAACACTGCAAAACATACACCAGGTCAGCAGTTTCTACATGGACAATGACAATGATTCCTTTCCTCCCCCATCCTCCTTTTCTTCTGCCAACCTTCCTATCCAACCTTGCAAGTTCCAAAAACACAATTTTAAATTAATTTATATATCTTTGTATACCTGTGATGTGCATGGTGTGACCCATACACTGATGTATATAATCCTTAGACCTGAAAATTAAGAAAGTTCAGGCAGGTTAAGTAACTTTTGAAGGGTGGCAGTGAATGTGAAGCATAGTAAGGTTACACATGTTCTGGCAACCTCTCTGTGTGTTCGTGGCAACATTGGCTCAGGAAGGCACTGCAGAGCCAACACGGAGACTGTGAGCTCCACTCCACCAATGGTTTTCTGTATTATCCTCCAAAAACAAACCAAACTGGTTGTCACCGAATCAATTGTATCACCATGTATTGCAGAACGGAACTAAGCTATCGGCTTTGCTTAGCTGCAATCTAAATAAAGTCAAATTGCCCTGCCTCTCTTTGGTGGGGCCAATGGGTGGAATCGAACTCCCAACTTTAAGGTTAGTAGTTGAGTGTATTTGCATCACCCAGGATTTTAATTCCTCTGATTCCTACCTGATATTAACTTTGAGATATTTAAAAGTAAATGAACTATGTATGTTAAACACTTTCGTCTTCTGGTAAAAATTCTATGTGGTCTCTCTCAGATATTATTATTAGTAGTAGTATTTAATTCATTTAAATCAGTAGGAGGAAAATAAAGCCTTTATCGTCTTCAACTCTCCTGTAAGTGTAGGAATCCCCAAGACACTTCCAAGTGCTATGTGTTTAATGCAGCTTTACGTCTGTATTCCATAACTCTGTTCCATTGCATTTGAATAGGTCTGTAAAGCATTCTCAAACGATGTTTAGATTAGCTTGGTCTTCACTGTAAATCCAGTATGAAAATGCTTTACAGAAGAAGCATAAACTGTGAATGGATTATTTACCTCCAATTCATCATCAGGGATCGCTCTCTTCCACTTTACGTCCCACTTGATGTGCTCATAGGCATTGACGACAACCTCGATTGCTTTGGGACAAGAATAGCAAGCTTCTATCACCTGCAAAGGAAGCACAACGTTTCATTGTTCAGTGCGCATGCACACACGCGCGCGCGATTCATTCGTTCCATTTGCGGAGGCATCAAAATTGCATGGAGTATTAGGGTCCCGGATCCCTGAAATGCCTTTGAGGGGTCTCAGGCCTTTGAGTGCTCAGACACACTACCAGCGTCCATGCCCTCGGGTCTATGTAGCTCCAAAAGTCACAAGAAAACAATACATAAAATTAAAGTTACCAAATAAAGATTGTCCAAAGTAAAGTTATCGCAAGAACAATGGAGATTGGCAAGATGAAGTCAGATTACAAACCACAAGATTTGTTCAAAGTATCACTTCAACAGGGAGTTTTGGTAGATTGAAACAAGGAGAGCAGCTTGGGCAGGGGAGTGGGGGGGTGGGGGGGTTAAGTAGAAGATGGCTGGACCATAAGTAGAGGAGGGCTGATCTGTCTCTATTAGACAAAACAGTCACAAATGATGAAATGACAAAATAGAGTCGCCACGATGGTGCCTTATTGTCCCAGTATGCAGGCTTGAAGTCTAACAACACCGAGGTGTCCCTCATCCATTTAGAACTGAGGGTACCCGGTAAACTGAGACCTAGCACCAACATATATTGGCTGTTTTCACACAAACCCTCTTTGGGTTTTGGTGACCTGTTTTACTCCACTAGCCTTGATTCTGCCTTTGTAAATGAATTGCTCTGAAAGTATTGCCCCCACCAGTCCTCAGGGTTTATATAAGTAGTGTCCAGTCACCCAAGTGTTGAAGCTACACGTCAACAATTACTGTATTGTAATCTAAAAAAGATGTCTTAGACATCTATAAGCTCCTTTTTTCCAACAATGCTTTCAATTCTATACCATTGACTTAAATAATGATACGACCAACAGAATTACCTTATGCCCCATGGAGATGATTTGTGATATACTCCAATAATATGATAATATTATCTCTAAAGTGAGCCAGGGGCATATGTAAACCATAGATATATGAATGGGTTTTTAAATCTCACTCGAGTGTGGCCCTAATATAGGGATAATTAGTTCTGTAGCATAGCCCTGCATGGTGGTTGCCCCCATGAGGAGATCACAGAAGACATGGGAACTGGAGCAGAGGACGGTGAAGAAAGCAGATGCTGCCCGCTATCCGGGAAACAGATAGCATCTGGGGTCTTAAAGGATGCTGTCAAAACAAGCAGTCATCTAAGTGAGGAGTTAGCCAAGCCCACACAGAAAAAGCACACCGCCTGTGTAATCCAAAGATACCAAATAATAAAATCCAAACCTGGAGGAGGAAATAGTACCTGAACCTAAATCTTAAATACCTAGTTTGTAGGTCGTTATGGTTGATAGTGGAGGGCCAAAACCCATGTGTAGGGACCACCATCGTTGGGAACCATGAATAGCCTTAGCATTAAAGACCCTTGTGCAGCAGATTTGAGAAGCTGTAGTCAGGCTGGAATGTAACACATTGTCATTTGATCTTTCTTTTGACCCACTTTGAATTTATTCTAGTTGTTTGGTTTTTTTTACTATTTTCTGTTTTAAAATTTTAATTCTGAAGACAAAATTAAATGCTAAGGTCAAAATATCAGTATTATTGCTGATAAAACTGGTTAGTGTAGTTATGTGGCTCCATAGAGCTTCCTACCACTTCAACCCTAAATTGTGTAGTTATGTGGCTCCATAAAGCTTCCTACCACTTCAACCCCAAATTAAACTTATACCTCGAACTTTAGTCTCTCCCTGCAGACAGAGCATGTTCCTGTTACCCCACCATAAGGATGCTTACAGTCCTCTAGGCCCAAGGTGTAGCCAGCAAACTGGGTTCCTCCTAACTCATCACTCGGACCACAAGCGTGAGAAGATAAGGTGGGGTTATTGAGAGGAGAAATATTTTAGCAGCCGTTTCCTCATGGAAACATGAGGTCTGGAAAATGGCAGGGCTCTCCCAATATGACACATCGCAAACCAGCTCAAATGCCCCAGCCCCAGTGCAAAACAGAATAGCAAGATGCAGTGGCATGCAGTGAAGCAGGGTCATCAGAGCAGGAAATAACAGCTAGAAAGATTTTGATGAATTTTCTGGAGCATCATCTGCATCATCCCCAGCCAGCTCACTAGACAAAAAGCTTCCTCTGAACAGAGAGATGATAGCTCAGCAAACCTGGTGGGGCACTTCTACTCTGTCATCTCGGGTCACTGTTGTCAGCAACAACTCCATCACTCACTGAGGCAAAGGCTTGAGTCAGTGGTGTACTGGAAAATGTTCAACAAACAATTCTTCGAAGATGTGTGTATGTGGACATATAAATAGGCTTAGTATAAATGCTACTGATATAAAGATTGTCATATCACAATTTACAAAGAATAGTAAGATACACTATACTCTTTATTTTTAGTTCTAAACAGTTAATAGGCTCTCCATTTGTCTAACCAATTATTGCACCATTAATACTTTATGGCTAGTGTTAAAGAGAGTTTGAATTCTTATGCAAATGTTGCACAATATTTTCATTATGTCAAAGAATAAAGTAAAAATTAAGCAGTGAAAATGTATGTTGGAACTTCAGTTATGAAATTTTCATTTGATCTCCCATGAGTTACTTTCTGTTGAATCAGGTAACAATTTTTGAATAATGGAAGAACATATCCTCAAAGCAAAGCTAAAAAGGTTTGTGCTATTCATAATGGAGCAGCCCTGGTGACACAGGGACTTAAATGTTGGGCTGCTCACAGCAAGATCAACAGTTCAAACCCACCAGCTGTTCCATGGGAGAAAGATGAGGCTGACTGCTCCCAAAAAAGATTTGCAGTCTTAGAAATTCTAAGGAGCAGTTCTACTCTGTCCTACAGGTTCACTAGGAATCAGAATCAACTTGCTAGCCGTGGTTACTCATAATATGACAGTTAAAAACCCAACACAAGGACATACTTTTAAGTTTAATCTGCGATATTCATGTTTTATCCACTCATTTCTTAAGTCTAAACATCAACAAAGCAATGATTCAAACCCTGATGGGTAGCCTTCGCTTACTTCTGAGTGGTAGCACTCTCATCATGGTCCACTGTAAGCTACCAATGTGAGGGCCTTGAAGGTGGACCTGCGGGGAGACATACAGTCTCTAGTGATAACTGTCTAGAGCTTCTACCAACAGATATGATTGGTGTAAATAACTCCAACAGCACAGATATGTAAAGTAAAATTATTACAAAATAATGTTTTGAACACTTTTACCTTAGTTCTTAATATCATTGATTCATAAGTCTACATGATTTGTCCTTATATTTAAGCAGCACAGTCACAAATCATGGCGGACTAACCGTGTGCATTCAAGCTGCACTTTAGTGAAGATAGAATGATCCCGCCCACAGTGGCGTATCCAAATGGTTTGCTGGAAAGATCCAGTCCTCTGGGCACGGTACACAAAACTATGCTGTTGACCATGGGTTTTTTCCATCAGGACTAAGCAAACAAAGAGCAATCCCATGTCATCCATCCAGAAGAGGGGAGCAGGTGGGCTGAAGGCAAACAACCACTGATATGGGGACTCTGAAGAGTCAGCGTTTCTAAATCTGCAGATAATGTACCTCTAAGGATGTTTATCTGGGAACACAGCTGTCAGATGGATAACTGATTTTCCAGCACCTTGGTCTTAGCAAATTGAGGCAAATGGATCTGATAGCTCCTCTGTAGCTAGGATGAGGAAGGCAGATAAGTAGTTATGTACCAAAGGGATACAATCTGAAGTTAATTGAATGCTTGAAACATAACTACCATCATATATCATAGATGTAAAGATCGATGATAAATCAGAATCACTAAGAACACTAGAGATTACCTCATGTTCCTACTCTGGAGATGCGAAAGCTGAAACCCAGAAAGGTCTTCCGTGAGAGGAAGTACTGTGATTTAACACAGGTCTTCTTAACCAGAAGTTACTGCTCTTTCAACTATGTATTGTTTATCATTTTATTTGAATCTTTAGAAAATGACTGGTTATCTTTTTTTTTTTTTGCTTTAAATTTTTAATTTTACTTTTTATTGTTGTTGGGAATTAATGCAACAAACATACACCAACAACATTTCTATAGGTACCACTTGGGGACATCGATGACATTCTTCTATTGCATAACCATTCTCATCCTCATTGACATAACTCTATTGAATTTCCAATCTCTTCTTTGGAGATACTGTTGTAAACTGATCCTTTATAGACTCGTCTTCAAGCGCAATCTTCACGAAAGCTATTCTTTTCTGGTTACGCCAAAGTATTGCTTGGTTTTAGAAAGTTCTTGAGGGATACTTTTGATTTCAGATTTAAACGTCTATCCGGTCCTGGAAGTTCACCCAGCATCAATGGCTCCGAAAGTCTGGAGTCCTCAAGAATTTTTAATCTGGTTCTGCTTTTTCCGCCTTTGGTTTGGATTCTCCTACAGAATCTTGGCCAAAGTGTTCAGTAATGAGAATTTGTCACCATTTTTTCTGGCCTTTGGTAAAGTGGGCATTTGTTCATGGAGACACTTAGCTACATTTCCACTTCCACCTCCCATTCCTGTCTCTCCTTCGTCCTCTGTTGTTCCAGGTAAGTCGTTGTACATTGGATGGTCATATGCAAGTTTTGAAGGCCCCAGTAACTGTACACAAAATACTTGGAAGAAGAACAGAAGTACTAACATGCCATTAGGCAATGGACTGGAAATGACTAGTTCAAGGATGCAAATCACATTACCTAGGCATTTAAACCAGAACACTTCTCTTCTATAATTATTTCAGACTGGGTTTTGCTGGATTTCAAAAGAATTATATTTTAAATACAAAGCTTTTGGTAATAATATGAAAATAGCTTTCATCTTTTAAAAACGTTTACACACACGCCTTCTGGAAAGGTGATAAATGGTGAAAAGCATATCAATGAGCAGTTGAGGAGTCCAAAATAAAGATTTGAACTTACTAATAAGCAGTACAGAGGTGATGCCTGAAATTAGTCCAGGGTCA